GCAAATCGAATTATATATAGGGACTTTGATGCACCATTTACATAAAATCGGACGAAAATATATATGGGAGCCATATCTAAATCTGAACCGATTTTCACGAAATTCAACACAACTCGTTCTAGACTTAATTCAGTACGATATGCAAAATCGTGTGCAAATCGAAATATAATATAGGGACTTTGGTGCACTATTTACCTAAAATCGGACGAAAATATATATGGAAGATATATCTAAATCTGAACCGATTTTCACGAAATTTAACACAAATCGTTCTAGACTTAATTCAGTACGCTATGCCAAATTTTATGCAAATCGAAGGATATATAGGGACTTTGGTGCACTATTTACCTAAAATCGGACAAAAATATATATGGGAGCTATATCTAAATCTGAACCAAATTTTCCCAATTTCAATATGGTTCGTCTTTGGACCAAATAAATAAGCGGGAGTTTGGTGCACTATTTACCTAACATCGGACGAAAATATATATGGGAGCTATATCAAAATCTGAACCTAATTCCACGAATCTTAACACTCATCGTTTTAGATTTAATTCAGTACGCTATGCCAAATTTCGTGCAAAACGAATGATATATAGGGACTTTGGTGCACCATTTACATAAAATCGGACGAAAATATATATGGGAGCTATATCTAAATCTGAACCGATTTTCCCGAAACTCACCACTTATCATTCTATACTCAATTCAGAACGCTATGCCAAATTTCGTGCAAATCGAATTATATAGGGACTTTGATGCACCATTTACATAAAATCGGACGAAAATATATATGGGAGCTATATCTAAATCTGAACCGATTTTCATGAAATTAAACACAACTCGTTCTAGACTTAATTCAGTACGCTATGCAAAATTGTGTGCAAATCGAAGGATATATAGGGACTTTGGTGCACTATTTACCTAAAATCGGACGATAATATATATGGGAGCTGTAACTAAATCTGAACCGATTTTTTTCCAATTTCAATAGGGTTCGTCTTTGGACCAAATAAATAAGCTGTGCCAATTTTCATCCAGTTCGAATCAATAATACTACCTGTACTTTGTTTACAATTTAACATGGACAGACAGACGGACGGGCGGACATGCATAAATCGGCTTAAAAAGTCATTCTATGCATATTCTCAAAAGGAACTATGTGTCTATCTCATTTCCCTTTGCTTGTTACAAACATATGCACAAAGACATAATACCCTGTACCACAGTGTGGTGAAGGGTATAAAAACAATAAAAGGTTCATTAAAAATTGGTTCAAAATGGAAACAACATAAAAAGCAAGTTTGTTATTTGACGATTGTGAAGTAAATGAATGAAGTGTGGATATATTGGTTTTACCTCTTGATAATGCTACACACATACAAGTTGTTTTCGGTATTTAGGACCATTAAACCGGATCACGATTTGCTATAACAAACATTTTCAATTACGTGTAAATGTACGCAATGACAGGACAGCTTTTTCAGAGAAGCCCTCAAAAAATTCATATCAATATGCGTTCAAAAAACGATACCAAGTAATGAATTCTATAATATTACGTGTCAGATTGAATAGATCGCCTCGTTGATTACTATTCACAAGGGAAATATATCTAAAGATTTTCCGTTTCCAATGTCCATATCTGTCATATAGGTCATATTTTTCACTTTTCGTTTTGTATCGACCATTGGCCAAATAAATACATTTTGTTTTCAGCAAATATATCCGCTGGTCTGAGTATTCCATATTGCGTAAGCCGGTCTAATGTAAGCGACGCAAATAATAAGAAAACCAAAAACGAGCAGTTAACTTTCTTCTTAAAAACGACAAAAGTAGTGCGTCAGATTTAAAAATAAACGACTTTCTGCCGTCGACGACCACGACGACGAAAGAATCCAAAAACAGACTAGAACCAGAATTAGTGTCAGCAGCATAATCAGTGTGTCTGTCTGTCTGTTCGGGAACAATACGTCTTTGATGGTCATTAATGTGAGTTAGCAATTCTCGAGGCGATGAGTTGTTGTTTGGTTTACGCTTAACAGAATTCAACACAGAATGTGTGATCGGCATACGTACGCTTCTGTTTGGCTCGGTTTTCGAAATATCACTGTGGACAACCTGGTTCTGGGTACCTTTCTCTCCATTTTATTTTTTTTTCATACTCTTAAAAGTCTCGTCGACTGGCGAGTGTGTGTGCAACCCGAATAACTGTGTATCGTCCGTGTACACACCTTCATTCTTTTCAGTACCCCCCTATAATGAACGACCCTATTTTAAATTTTATGCTGCTTTCTGAGCTTTCGTTCTTTGGTATGATTGTTGTTGTGGTTCGATGTTATTGTTGTTTTAACTTCTTACAAGAATTGCTAATTCTTAACAATATTTCAACACGGAGAAAGGTTGTTGAACTGGTAGTGTGTTCAGTCACGCTTCGTTGCTATCAAACCATAAGAAATGCTCGTCCACCAGGCTGGCTTAATACACTTAAAGAAATAATTAGGTAAAAATGAAAGTAAAGAATATAAAAATGAGGAGCTTATTTACAGATGTTGTTCTATTAACTCGGAATATAGGATTGGGTCTAAACATTCGCATTTGTTCGCTCGCTACGATTGGAAGTGTGCACTTCCTGTTGTGTATATTGTCTACGAGCATTGACATTTATTACGCCTGTCAGAATGTCGATCTTTGGACATCGTAACACACATCAATAATGACAAGATGTTAGGAAAGTAGTTAGGCAGATTGTTGTTTGGCTACTTGCTAGCCTTTGCTTGACTAGTTGCTCAATGAACAAGTTCTTCTTTCTTGGCCATGGTCGTGCCGTACAGGCCATTGTAGATAAACAAACGCCGAAAGAGCCGTTTGCTGCGATTGTTCATGTGTGAAGTTTCGACCACATGAAAATACACAAGTCTCGCTTTGAAATGCCAGAAACATTACGCATTTCTTTTTCGCCATTCATTTATTTATGATCTGGTATGCACGAGTGTTTGCGTGTGTGTGATAATGTCGCTGAATACAAACAAAACTATTTACAGTTATTTATTTTGTTGGTCAAGTGTTTGTATTTGTTAACATTAGGTTAGAATTGTTTGTACCATGCTTCGTGACTTGGGAGCGCATACACACGAGAGATACTTGCAAGTGTATGTATGCATAAAGAGTGAGAGAAAAAATGTGATCGGTGCTGTCAGGGATAGAATCTATTATGAATGATATTTTTATCCAGCTATGCACTAACACGTACGCTAGAGTGTTCATATATATACGTGAGTGCTGCTGTTCACGAAATTAGATAGTATAGAGGAGCGTGAAGATCGAATGAACAGAGCTACAATTTGTACAGTTCTCGGTAATGACTTCAAATCGAACAAAATTCTAATGAACTGCAAAATAAATACAATATTACGAAGCTATATACATTTACAGTCACGATCTGCCTATCAGCAAAACAAAATGTCATTGTTTTTTAAACAAATTATTGTAATTATAGATATAAACAAGTTCATCGCAAACTCCGCACACAAAGTGACTTGAAATCTATTTAATGGTCGTTGCGTTGTTTTGCCTTTTTGTCCGAAAAACATCGAAAGTGAAAGAAAAGTGGTTAACTTCATGAGCATCTCATAGCTCTATCTAAAATGTTCCACTGAGTGGAAGGCTTTTTCCATATCTTTCCACTGAATCCGATCAGTACTGCTTCGGAACGTGATATATTAACAGTTATATTAATAGATTAAAAAAATGTATTAATAAATGTACATATTTACTTTAAATTGATAATTTTAATCTGTGTAGAGCTGATTGTGATAGCCACAATCGGTGACATATAGTTCGGACCCAATTATCACCCATGCCATTGTCAGACGGTGCTTATGCAACCCCAATTTACTACATTTATTTTTATCATAGACGAAAACGACCAACACTCACTATATAATAGGACATATACTTTTTTAGGACAACCGATTTTTGCGGCCGTGTCGTGTGCCTTCTCTATCTTTGGTTAAACATTAGGGTGGGTGTGTTATAAACGTGTTACAAAATATCAAAAATATTCATTTTCTTTCTACAAATCCAATTTTGTTTACATTTAATGTGACCGTGATTTATTTTTAAGACAATTTGGCAAGTGAACACCATACACCCGAATATATCAATTTACTTTCCAAATCAAAAGTTTCAAAATTTCCCAAAAGATAATTCAATCACACAGAAAATGAAAATAAGAACCACTTCAAGTGTTATCGTATCAAACTAAAGAATAGAAAAGTCACCAAAACAAAAAAGAATATTTAATAATAATAATAATCAGTAAATCAATACGTACATACAAAACGATATCTGTGGCATTGCATTTATGTATGTACGTGAAAAAAATATCAACAGCAAATTCGACTATAAATTATAAATATAGTAATTGTATTCAATTCGTTAGCACCAAATATTGTTAAAAAAAAATTTGATATACTCGTTGTTAATATTGTGACTATGTTGACGACACCGACACATTAACTCAGCATTTCCATCGGAAGGTGTAAAATGATGGTGGTACTTACTGCATTGAATGAAACCCCGGCCAATTATGAAGATAAGATATGAAGAAACCGACATACCTATTACTGTGTAGTCAGTCTATGTGTATGTTTCTAAACACCAGGCATTGCGGCTAAAAAAAAACTCCTACACACTTAACATTGAATAGAGATAGACAGATGTACACAGAAAATCATTTTCTTATATCAATGTCTGATTTAAATGGAAACATTTTGAGAAATATTGGATTCGGAAAAGTCCGCAATGTTGTTCAGAGTCTTTTAATAATTAATTTGTACTTACATAAACATTTCATATTTTAAATTTCTGTCTTTGTAGAATAAATATATTCACAAATGTACACGCATATATGTATACCTATAAATGCATGTACATAAATGTGTATGTTTGAAAATACATATTCGTTTTTTTGATCCAATGCATTCTGTTATCAATTCTAGACGGACTCTCTGAAGTTGTCCACGGACAGTGACATGAACGATTGGTTTCTGGAGCGCGACGTTAAAGATGCCGCTGTCATACTTAACGACAAATTAATTTCCGATGCCCTTCTAAATGGAACGATACCGATCAAATCTGAACATTCCTACAGCCTTAACAGCGATGGCGACTCTCTACCCGATTCGCCCCACAGTCTGCACACAAAAATGGATGGTAAGTTTATAGCGGTCATAGTGGCCAACATTTAACAACAGTACCAATATGTGTTTCCCCATTCACACTCCAAATAATGGATAAAGCGAACAGTAGCTGGTACATGAAACATATAATATTTGTACCCCTTCCATTCCACCTGAGGCTAGCACAACGGCTTTCGCATTGTTGCTGACTCTTCTTCCACCGTTTAATTGTTTTGTGGTTCATTTATTAAAATTTGTTTTTATTCAAAATACTCAGTTGCGATTGTTTGGAACAATGCTGGAAACAGAAGTTGTTAACAGCTAGGTAAATACGGCATGAATTCAATATTAACACAAGTGCGGCCAAAATAGAATGACGCGTGTTTGAATTCAAAAACAAAACAACAAAAATACAAAATATATTGGGAAACGACAACAGTGTATCACAATCTCAATGTGGGAACCCAAACAATGAATTTATCGCATTCTAGGTATACATAGATGCCTGGCCCAAATTAAACAAAGTAATTGATTTGTTATGTTTTGTCGCTGAGACCTTGATTAGTATTCCATTTGATGCCTTTTTAATTTAATCGTTCGTCATAAGCAGCATTTTATCTAGCCCTAAGCTGACCCTTTTCATCCATGTTTCATAACTGACCCCTACATATTGTATTTTTCATCGCAGATATGGAAGATGAATGCTACCCGGCCATTTCATTGAAAACAGCCACATCGAACGTCAGGGGTGTAAGCAGCACGGCAACTATTGATCCAAAATGCTTAAACATTTCATCCAGCTCCTCAATGATCACTGGTAATAATATGGAAACTGGTTCATTAACCTTAAATGCCGTGGTTTCTGCAGGTTCAACATCTAGCGCAAACATATGCAGTCAGTCAAATCCCATACTGACCACCAGCAGCTGCAACACAAGCCATATATCGAGCATGTACAGTAATATATGTAAGATTTCTGCTAGCACACCCATTACACTCAGCCTGCGAAACCTTGAAAGCGCCCAGAATCTGAACAATTCAATGAATGCCGCCATCTCCTCGGATAATCACAAATTAATGGTCAAACAACCCGCCACACCTTTACAGACAAAACAACAACAACAATATCTACCTCAAGATGAGCTAAATGCAGTCATGGATAATGATTGTGCATCCAGTACATCATCGCGGGATGGAAGTCAGTCACCAGATATATGCTCCGACATTGAGATCGATGAATCCTGCATTAAAAACGAGCCCATGTCTCCCGACTCCAGTTGTCCTGGTAGTCCGGAGGCGAGTGACATAGCCAACTGTAGCAATACGAATGGCGGCACCTTAAGTCTAACCATGGCCAATATGGCTGCCTTCACAAATTCAGATCTCGTTTTTGAGCACAAGGTGGGTTTGTTGGCATCACAATGACCATACGAACAGTAAATGATAATGTCATTTTTATTCTATTTTCAGGATGGTTGTTTGCAACTTACGCCGTCTTCCCAAAACTTGCTCAAGACACAGCAAATTGTCATCAGTCCCTCACAAAATGTTATAATACCTAAATTTACCATAAAATCTGAGGGGACAGCATCCAGCAGCGGTACTTTCATTACGTCTCCCTCGATTGCCAAGTCATATGGTCTGCCCTTGACCCCACCGTCGTCCCTCTCCAGTGATGGTTCGGAGGGTAATCTCACACCTGAACACATGCTTTCACCTCAGTCACCCACCTCATCAGCTACAGCGAAGATAGCGGCTTCGGTTAGTCAACCGACAAGTGGCATTTTAACTGTTACGTCTATACGACGAAATACCAATAGCTCTGCCTCGTCCACTACCTCCAATTCCAGTTCCAATGTAAGCATGGGTCGACACACAAGTGGAGGTACTACCCGCCAACCAATACACACACCACTGATAAGCTCGCAACCGGTAAGATTGCCCCGACTCAATTGTCAGCTTCAGCTATTCTTACATTCACCTCTTCATATTCAGTATACATTGATTTCAGTTTCAACTTGTCACTAATTTTTTTTTCATTTTCCATTCGTCACTAAATTTTCTTTCATTTTCCATTTGTCACTAAAATTTTTTTTCATTTTCCATTCGTAGGAATTTTTTTTTTCATTTTCAGTTTGTTAAAATTTTTTTTTCATTTTCAATATGTCAGAAATTTTTTTCTTCTTGGTTGAAAAATTCTTCGTTGATGATGACAAAGTTCATTGAAATTGATGGGGGGATATCACCCACTTCCGGTGGTCTGAGAGAAAAAAGACCTTGTTTTTTACACGTTTCATAGCGTTTAGAATCGAATGCAGCAATAAAAATTTTGAGGAGCAAAAAAAAAAAAAAAAAAAAAAAAAAAAAAAAAAAAAAAAAAAGGTCCTCAGGTAGAATTTTACCTGCTTTCCCAAGCTTTTCGAACAGTAAGCCGTCCCATTTCAGTATGGCAGCCCAAGCTTTCCGGAATAGTAAGCCGTCCCAAGCTTTCCGGAACAGTAAGCCGCACCCACACAGTAAGCCGTCGCAAGCTTTCCGGAACAGTAAGCCGTCGGGAAACAGTAAGCCGTCGCAAGCTGGAACAGTAAGCCGACGCCTTTCCGGAACAGTAAGCCGACGGAAGCTTTCCGGAACAGTAAGCCGTCGCAGCCTTTCCGGAACAGTAAGCCGTTGCATAGCAGTATGCGTAGCCAAGCTTTACGGAACAGCAAGCCGTAGCAAGTCTTCGGCAACAGTAACCCGGTGCAAGGTTTCCCAACCGCAAGCCTTCACAGATCAGTAAGCCGACGCGACGCGACGCAACCTTTCTCGACGGTAGCCCTTCACATGCTTCGATCACATTAAGTACTACACAACAGTGTGCCGTCACACAATTTCATCAACACCCATACGGTCGTACACAAGTTGTTCCTTCCGTCCTTCCTTTACTTGTAACACACTCAACTATTGACAACAGCAACACAACACAACCCTTCCATTCCACTCCACTACCTTCACCATCACCTCAGCTATATACAGGCGGTGCAACACTAAACCATCGCTGGCTGCCTAGTTGACCAAATCATATTTCGATTCACACACTACGCTGACACGATACATTTGATGACACCAGCAGTGTTGCAGAAGGAATTGTCGACTTCAATGGGGTGATTGATTGCAGGAGTTGTTGTAATGGGAAGTAAATTATTCACGGGTAAAATACTAGAAGTTCGAAAGGCTAACGCAGATGCAGGTAATTGTAGATTATGTGGTATTAGGTGAGATTCCAGTTGAAAGATAGGTTTTTGTACGTGTAGAGGGACGTGTCGGTTGGGTTTGCTATTTGGAGGTATATTTGGTGCGGTAGTAGTCTGGGTATTTAGGTTTTGTTCGTCTTCAGTTGTATAATGCGGTAAATCCGGAGGCTGACGAGTGGTGTTTGGTACATGTTGTTTAGGTTTTATAGAAAAGCATACGGGATCTGAAATATAATTGAAGTTGGCGGGTAAGGTAGTCATGAGTACTTGATAATGTATGTGTACTACTTACTGTTCGAGCCTTTGTCGCGCATCAGTCCCTTTTTGTTCATCAACGCTTCTGCAAGTTGGTTGGCTTTGCGTTGTTTTGTTTCCTTAGAAGCAGCGTTTACGTCGGGCGTTATTTTATACATATAGTATGGTGAATATTCATTGTCAGGCAACAAAAATGTGAAGCGTTTGGTTGATTTACTTCGCAGAGTCTCTTCGAAATGGCGGCCATTTTCTTAGAATATACACTGGTGTCTTGTCAATAATATTCTTAAGATTTTCGGTGGGCACGGGAAAATCAACATTCGCTGGGGGTGTTTCTTCGCTCAGTGGCTTTGTGGACGTAAACTCCTTCTCGTCGTCGCAGCTGCATTCAGAGTCCGAAGAGTAATTTTGAGCCAAAGCGCAGTTGAGTTCTTTAGAATTTGTATGTTGCGCTCATTGGCGCGTATAGTTGTGTTTTTGGCATTGGTGTTTGCTTCTTCTTCGTTTTTTGTTGAGAAAATGACGAAATAATCAAGTGGATTCTTAGATCGAAAATCGACCTTTGTCATTGGCGCGTATTGTTGTGTTTTTTTTTTGGCGTTGGTTTTTGCTTCTTCTTTTTAGAAAAAATGACAGATAATCAAGTGGATTGTTAGATCGAAAATAAACATTTTTGCTATTGACGGCGTCATTACACCTAACTGTTCATAAAGTGAAATGTTGTACGATCGGCAGTACAATATGTTTGACATTTCGATGTTGGACAATAAATCGCATTGTATGAAAGAAATAAATTGAAATGATGTTTATCATTTTGTGGAATGTGAAATGTTGTACGGTCGGTAGTAGAAAATGTTTGATATTTTGATGTTAGACAATAAATCGCATCGAATCAAAGAAAGAAGTGTGGCCAACGTGAAAATATGTTGGTTCTAGGAATCAAAATGTCATATGGCATTTTTCATTTCTTTTTGTATGAGCATTCTCAAATTTGCCGCGAAGGTGTGTATTCATATTGTTGAAGAATTGCTGTTAAAAATGACAAAGTTCTTTGAAATTGATGGGAGATATCAGCGAGTGAGCCGTCACACATCAGCAAGCCGACGCAACCTTTCACCAAGAGTAATACAGCAGAAGCTTTCCCAAGCACACAACACAAGGCGGCAGAAGGGACAGTAGAGCGATGACGCCTTGCAGTAATACAAAGTGTTTTCATACAGCAACCTGGCCAATGGTACGGCGGCGCGGTACACGAGCATTAGAATTTTTGGCACATAGCCAGACGCTCAGAACAGTAAGTCATCAGAAGGCTTTCAATACAGTTAACTATTCATAACATTTACTTATCGCAATCTTTAGCATCCATAGGCAAACGTCGTTTTTGAAGAATGCAGTGGCGTTCCATAAATTCACACGGCGGAATGTTAGCGGAGAATATGTTGACGTCTAATCAATTTGCATTCCATGGCCTTCACGTATATATAGAGGCGGTGCAAGAAACAGTACATCATCGCTGGTGGTTGAGCATGTCACATCTGTCGAAACACACAGAGTAAGTTGACACGGACTTCACGTACACTGACTCGTCGCCGTGGCCAAAGTGGAGAAAGTAGGGAATAATGCGGACTAGCGATTTAGACGACGGGTACGTCGTTGAAGAGTGGAGGTATGTATGGGATTTTGAAGAGCAAAGAATATTGAAAAGTTGTTGTCGATTGCGCGTGAAGTAATATAGAAAATGTAATTTTAGAAATTGGAGTTTTGGTGGTTAATTTTGTTTTTGGTTGATTTAGAATAGTTTGTCTCTGTAGGGTATATGTGTAATGTTGATAAATCAAAAAAGATGGCGTGAAAGAATTGGAGGTTTTTAGTTGTTTTATTTTGTTGATTTTTTACAATAGTTTGACTATAATTATATTTAGACATGAGCCCTCTTCGAAGTGTAGTTAGATGTGATATGCAGGAAATAAAAATGAAGAGGTATATAGGGGTTGTGGTGTATTAGTATTATATTGGAAAATTTGATTAGTATTATATTTGTGAAATGAATTACAGAGAGAAGGTAAGAAGATAGATAAGTAGAAAAATAGAGAGATAATGATTTTAGAGAAGAATAGATTATTAGTCAATTAGGCAGATTAATATTTTAGTAGGAAATAATTAGATTTAAAAGAATTGTAGCGGGGCCTCTGTCTCTCTTATAAATAAAATTAAATTTAGAACTTATAATTATAAATGAAAGAGAAATATCACACAATTCAAAGGCTTTTGGTGATGTTATTGAACAAACGACGACCCCACCATGATTCCAGATCGAATGGTTTGAAGTCACTTAGAACAGGACTCGGAGGTTCAACACAATACAGTGAGGAAGCAGTTTGGGATGGAGTTGTAGATGATTTAATAAGTGAAGCAGCTAAATGGAGTAGAAGAAATTATTTTAATATTTAAAAAAAGTGAATGATGTAAGGTACCAGTAGTATTGTTGTTGTTAGCATCAGTTGGAAGTGGGTTTGTATTTTTGGGAGATCTGTCATAAGGGTTTTGTGCGACTACAATGTTCCATGCTGAAGAAGAGGAAGAAAAGAGGAGATGAATATCAATTTTGAATATGAATTTGAAGACGTACTTACAGTCATTTATATATTTGATGATCTCCTCGTGATGTGGTGTCAATACTTCGTCCTCCACAGTTTTTGGATGGGTGTAAAGTTTGTTTGTTTGAAATACAGGCTTTGGTACACTGGAATAAAAAGAAAAGAGAAGTGATTAGTAAGGAATCGTGTCAAGGTAGGCGGCGTTTGTTGGCATGAGAATGGAATTTGAAATAGAAAAGAAATTGGTTTAGTGATTATTGAAGAAAATGATTGATTGGCAGGAAGATTTGAAGGGCATTCGATTAGAAAAGAAAAAACGATTTGTTATCTGTTTGTTAGAGTGGAAGAAAAACATAGAGGTATTAGAGAGGAAGGTTGATGTGGCGGAGCATATATAGTAAATAGTATGATGGTGAATGAAGGGAAATGACGAGTGTGTATAGAGATCGACACTGACAACACAGACACACATACACTGCACTCGACTGTTGTGTGGGAAAAGGAAATTGGGAAAATAGTTTTTGTGGTGAAGAAGTTGAAGATTTGGACATAAGCACGTGGTCATCAGTATCGAATGATTTGATTTTCAGTGTAGCAGCATGAATGTCGAAGGCGTCATTTGTTTGATTAGGTAATTAGGAAGAAATGTTTTTGTCTGTGGAAATCGTCGGCTGCAATGTTGTTTGTGGGAAGTGGGAAGAAGTGGATTCAGGTTACGTACCTTAAATTGTCTGGACTGGTGGCATCATTGTTGCGTCGTCCACTCTCTTTAATGGTTTCGAATTTTTCAAAGTTTTGTGATATTCCTGGGAAGAAATCGTAAGAAAATATATGTAAGTGAATTATTTGGAATTTAGGAATGGGGGGTGAAAGTTTTAGAGGAAGCGTTGAATTGTATTGTAAACAAACCGGCTTATTTAGTATCGGTCGGTTCTCTTACACTCTCTGCATACTCTTGCAGTTGTCATGTTTGAATAACAATTTGAGATGTTTCGCACTCAGATTTTGATGTGTGACATAACAATTGAAAAAGGGCCGAATCAATGTTATGAAGCGAAATGAAATTACAAGCATTGGTGTCTGAATTTGATTTGGCAGGAAAAGAGTAATGCACGTACCTCTACGAGTTTTGGCCACAATTTTGCTGGGACCTTTGGAGATTGTATACATTTTCTAGCTATAGGAACTTGGATGGTAGTTTATGTGTGTGTTGTGTTTTTGTTTGTTTATATTTGATATATTCGAAGCGATTTATACAAGTGGAATAAATTATTAAGAATATTAGTTAAACAGTAAACACTCTTACACGTAAAGATGCAAGTCTTTTCACGATCAAAATAGATTTGTAATAAAAGTAACGTGCAATCGTTTCAAGGAAAATTGACTAATGAGAAGAAGCAAAAAATTTCCATCAGCTGTTCGTTCTTCGAGAAAATTTTCACCCTGTTATTCTAAAGATAGAAGAAAATGCGTCAGCTGTTTGTTTACTATCAGCATGCCGCCTTGTTTTGACATTAGACGACCTATTATAAAAGCGATTTTAATTGTGTATTATAGCACTTGAGATGGAATAAATGTATATAAAATTCACTTAATGGAACAATGCATTTGTTAGTATTTATGTTGGAATATATTTTACAAATTATTAATTCGTATTTGTGCTTTATACACTTGTGTTGCAGTCATTATGCAATTTAACTGTCTGAGTTGTGTGGTGAATTCTTTTAGCACGATACAAGTACAATCATGCCATCTGCCGAGGTATGGCACAAGTAAATTGCATTATATAATGAATGGCGCGACGTGTAATCATTTTATAGTGGATAGTGTGATCCATACAGTTCATTCGGTGAATCAAATTGAACTAGTAAACAAAGCAAAATGAAGAGAATTCTTTTGGCGCAATACTACCATGAACAATTACTCCATTTGCCGTGGCATAACACAAATGCTCTTCTTATTAGAGAGATTAGAGTGACGAGTAATCATTTTACCGTGGATAGCGTGATCCAATACATTTCATTTGGTGAATCAAATTGAACGAGCAAAGAAAAGGCAAACAGCTTGTACACAACATTTTGGACTAGGAAAACAGCGAAATGGAAAGCATAGCATCATCGGGTGGTGCGGAAACGATTCCTGATGAACTCTCGCCAGAATTTCTGCAAAGAAAATTATATTTCCTTGTGGACAAATTGAAGTCAATGCAGAACCAATTGCCAGAGTAAGCAAGTGAAGTAAGGAATGACAATGAAACATGTCGATGGCAGGGAATGTCGCTAGAAAGAATTGTAGAATAAATTTGGTTAAATTGCATTTTGCATAGACATTGAATACTTGTGGTTTTATTTGTATGTCTTAATCTTTTCGCCAATGTACCATTGGTACTGAATCACATAATAAAAGTTAGGCATCAACTGTTTGCTGGTTTTAATATATGACTTTTTTATTTTTTACAGAATATATCAATCGAGGATTTCATATGAATTACTCACGGAATTGGCCAACTCGCTGCTAAACGATACCATATTTGAAATCGTAAAAGGATTAATGGAGATACAACACGTGACTGAGAAACATTTGTACCAATTACGAGAACAAGTTCAAAATGAATACGAAATCGAAGTTCAGGAATGGATATCGAAAATCAGTGACCAAGAGGAACTTCAACACATTCTCCAATTGATGAAAATAAAACACACGAAAAAAATGAAGGAGACCGATATGAAGCTGATTGCCTTACTAGATCAAAAAGTTAAAGATCAACAATTGACGCTTCACAAGGCTGGTGTAGCCGGATTTTACGTGACCGATAATCCAAAAGAAATCAAAATTCAAATGTTCCTATTAGATTTTATACTGCGTTTATCAAGAATCAAATTTGAGCCAAATAAATGATTTATACACAAATATAAACGCTTTGTTTTTATTATTGGGAGATGGGAATTAGGTTCACTTCAAGATGTTTGAATTAGTTATTACATTATATTGTTATACAGACAATTCGCAAAGCCGATATCCGCTCACATTATTGTCTCAGGTTTATTTGAACTTGGTCGAAAGTATTCTCTTTCATTACAAGTGAATGTTTGTTTTATTTGTACCCGACAATTTTATGGTCACTGATAGAGAACATTCCAATTCAGATCGTATAATGCATTGTCAATTAAGCAATAAACCATTTAGTCCCAGCGTGTGTATCTAATAACCATAAATTGATGTAAAACCATATTTGTCTCGGGGTTTTATATACCTTTAATAGCATACACAATATACAGTATTAATCATAATAATACTATAATCACAAAATATAATTGGAGAACAAAAGAAAATACATGGTATGATCTTGAACTTATATCTAATCTACATTCACTTTACATTGAAGCTTATATATAGGTAGGGTTTGGAGCCTGTAATACAATTTTAGGACGTATACTTTCTTAACTTAATATCTAGCTTCCCACAAGTACCGTTCCGGCAGGCATTCTGTCAGCAATAGAGTCCTTGGCCTTCGTTCTTTTCCACATAGTAATTGCAGTATTCCTTTTGGGTCGGCGTCAGCCCCATGGAATCCACTTCTGATTTGAATTGTTCAAAGCCGCCCACGCCTGCCAAATAACCGTTGAGTTTAGTAGCAACATAGGAGGTTTGTAAAAGTTTTGAATTTAAATTTAGAGTGTCACATAAATCACGATGACCTTGCAGGCGATATTTCTGGTGATAACTGCAAAAGAAAATGTTATGCAATACAACCTATTTAAAATATTAGTATCAAAACCTACTCTTCAGCAGGATAGAAATTGGTTTTAGCCCGAATTTCCGTAGTTATAACCTCTGGAGCCCGTTTAATCTGTTCTTCCTGTTTAGATTGTTCAGCAATTGTCTTCTGCTCTTCGTCGTGGTATAAGATCAGTGACATATATTGTCTTTTAATGGGGGTGGTTAGGCCGTATTCGTGGTTGTTCCAGAATAAATGAAGGAGATCTTTGAAGGAAATGACGTTTGGGTCGTAGTCAATTTCCAAAACTTCAGTATGGTCACCCCTAAATAATGATATCGTGTTACAATGCATTGAAAGGTTGTTAGTAAAGCAGAATAGGTTGAGAAAGCAACAGATCAGAGCGGGAAATGAGGAAGGGGAGGAAAAACGAAGATTAATTACAATTTGTTCTTTCACATAAACTTACAAATTACGGTACGTTGGTCCTTCCTTGGTGCCGCCGGCATAGCCTACAGTTGTGCGCAATACTCCTCTTGTGGCTCCATATAACGATTCTGCGCCCCAAAAACATCCCATGCCAAATGTGGCCGTTTTGAATGGCACACCAAGGGAATGTACCGGGCTGAGGTTTAACTCTTTTTGTTCATTGCGCACAATACTCTGGAATATTAATAATAAGCATCGATTAACTCACTTCTTGTTTTGTCCATTAAAACGACAATAAATTACAAATAATTTTATAACACCACTCAAAGAACTTGTATTGCAGTTCTTAAATTCGTTGAAAATGCCATTCGAACGGTTAATAACGTAAACAACCATAGTCAGGAACAGAATAAATCTCATTTTGTCTGAGAGAATTGACAGCCTGTGACGACAGCTCTTTAAATACTGAATAACTATACTGTGATTGCAGTGTCATTACAACATTTTGATTATTGGTAAACCAGGTTCAATGCACGTATGCCTACCTACATACATACAAATCAAACAAGAAACACACATCGACAATGGCTGTCGAAGAGCCAGCAAACAAACCAGCCGGGAAACACGTGTTTGCATTTACACAGAGAAATAACAATCTCTTTTATTACAGAGAGTGACTGCAGCGTAGAATCTCTTACTTGTTCACACATGCATCTTAAAGGCCAAGGTCACTTTCGATAGACGTTTCTTTGAAGTATTCCTGTTTTTTATTTCGATTTGATTTAGGGCCAAATCAAAAAATATTCGAAACGAGAAGTAATGGAATATTTTCAGTATCTATATTCTATATTAGCAAATATTTGTAATAACATTTGTACCTTAAACTGTTTACCATCGAACCGAATAATACTTAGTAGATTTCGGAGCATTTTCTAATTAGTTAATTTGACACTAGGTAGTCTTAACTTGAAAATGACAAACTTATTTCATCAAAGAACACTTGCGAATAGAGGGACCATCGGCCACAAACTGGCATATGCTGATTCCCCCACAACACTTAATTGAATAAAGTGCTGTTAGGTAAAATAAAAGCTTTCTGGCTGTTGGCCGCTTGTTGCCAGCAAGTCTGCGTAGAACATGTTGACTGTTTAAGTTTGAATATTAGTTGGGAATAGGGGTTAGTAAACTTTTCCAAATGGCCTTCAGACAACAGGAAGTGGCAATTGACTAGTATTGGAATTTCATTTACTAATTTAGTGCGGAATTATATTGGATAGGATTTTTGTATGTGTTCTTACCACATCCTTAAGGGTTGGTGCGTTGATGTCTTCTGGATTAATAGCGATCGACATTTTCACACAAAATTCACTCAAAGAACTTTAATCTGTTCAGCTTTAAGTTTTCAATTAAACTGTTGGACAAATTTCTTAATCACCGGCATTTATACTCGCCGTCTAGTGTTTCGATTATAATGTAAGTGCTCTTAATCAACTTAAGCGTCGATTGAGAGAGGAAGACCTCTAGTGGAGCAGACAAGATTACGTTGTTGCTAGAATAGGTCGTATCGAAGATTTGTTTTTCTTGTGCAGGTCTTACTAACAGTTCGCCGTTCTGATTGTCAAACAGTCTGATTACAATAAAAATAATAATTTCACAATATGTAATAGTTAAAATCTGGATGAGTTATTTTAGGGAAAGAAATGATACCCTATTGAAAAAAGTGTGACGAAAAAGTATTCTCTAGGTACAATAAGTGCGTAAACGATTGGAACTTTTATACTACTTTTTAATATTTGCTAATATGTTCAATACGTCCTGATGTGCATACAAACATACGGGTATATATGTCAGTCCGTGCATACAATATAGTTTTTGCAAATCTTATCATTGTATAGTTTAATGATATTCCTCTAAATTTAAATAGTGATTAGGAAAATCGAATGCGCTACGAACAATACACCTATATATCCATAAGTATCGATATATATATATTTCTGTAGGATATTCGTAGTTTTCGTTTCTTTCCCACTGAAACTATTTCCAAGCATTATCAATGACACTGTCAAAATTAAATACTTAGAGGTTCGTTGAGAGAACAAAAGCTTTGTATCTGCAATTGTTGTGTATTTCAAATATGTATGCATGTTAGTTTGTTTGTGTCGATCTGTTTAAGGCGAGAAAGAGATAATTTAGTGAGAGAGAAAGTTGCTTAACCAGCATGTGCTGATACGGCTCTTCTCAATTAACAATTCGGAACGCTTGGTTTTGTTAATGTTTTCAATTTGATTGTTTATAAACAATGCAAATTTAAAAGATTTTTGTCAAAAATAATTCTATATGAAAATGACGTCGGTTTCAGGTGACATCTTGACCAATCGATTGCTCGAGGTGCACAGAATCGGATTTCGTTTGAATTACAAAAATCGGTTTAGAATTGAGGGACAGGCAGAAAATGCCGAAATTCTCAGAATCTATAGGGGATATTCCCTCCAAATTTTGTATACATCGAGAATAGGATATCCTCTAATGGTATGCCAACTTTCGACCGATTCCGAAAAGTGCCTTCGGAGCTACAATTTTTTTTAAAAAAAATTTGTTATACGAAATTGTATGTAAACACGGATTGTTGTTATGGCGAGCGAGTGGACCATGAATACGATAGATATGATCAGCTGTGGACGCTACACACATTTGTTGTACACAGCAAATATTAAGTATTTCGTCTTGTTTTTTTTTTTCAAAGTTGAATGAGTATTTATGTGTGTATACGAATGTGTGTTTTCATTGGTAGGTATTCAGATCTGTGCGAATCGTAACAAAGGTGACAATGCCCCGAGCGATGTTGTATTTCCTCTTTGATTATATTTAATGGATCCTAATAGTAAAGCCTCATATAACAGATCTATTATATAGTATGTAGCGTAAATATATATATGTATGTGACCCCACTAATTGAGTAAAAAATCCCGTTGATCAGCAAAAATGGCGTTCAAAATTTAGTCGTTGTGCTATAGTTGGATTCTTATTGCGTTTATCAGTGTTTTGAGGCGGGAATCTATGACATTGATGTATTAAATTGAGCCCAATCATTGGGATATTTGCGCAAATTATTGTTTAGGTAACTAGAATCAATGATTTGACAAAACTGCAAAAATTAAAAACAAATTGTCGTAGAAGAGATAATGGCTGATGAAATTTACGCTGGAATAAACTCATTGAAGAAAACTGCTTCACAGAGTACACGAAGGGAACATGGCATGCATTTCGATAGGGCAAATTGTTGGAACAGTTATCTATTTTGAATTTGATATTCCAATAAAATCGCAGACGGTCTATTTATAATATTATCGTTCGCATTTATCTACTACGTGAGTTGCCCTAGTCAACATATTCCCAAAATCTATTACGCTTAGAAAGACGAATATTGCAAATATGTTATCTTTAAATTAAAGTATGTATTCATTCAAAAAATACTTTGCTTGTGAGATAATGGGTTATTTGTTGTTAACCCTATAATACATTATAAAAATGAGGTAAAAACACTGACTGTAACCACACAAGCCACTTTATTCTTCGGCAATTTTATTAAGAAGTCGAATTATAGGTACATTTCCCATTTTCAAGATAAATATTTCTATTTGTAGTCACATGTTTCATTTCGATTGTATAAGAGGCGAATTATCACCATAGATTTTTCGTCTAATCGGAATTGTCCTTGTGGGGAAAGCTATTGAACTCTATTTCCTTAAGATGCCAATTCTTTTCTATGTTGTACCCTAATTCATATATTCTATGTTGCTTCGTTACTGCACTATGATGTTTTATCTTCTTTAATTTGTTCTTCTTTAAATAATGAAAAGATGAGTAGCAGATCTTCATACAAAATGTCTGAATACAAGGTTAATGGTGGAGGGGTTTGGAAGAAGGGTATGAATTCATTGGTCGAAGTTCTCAACGTTTATAATTTTCGTAAACTCAGAATGTTATTTTGTTTTCCTATTTTAGGGAGGAGAAGGGAGATCCAGAACCTGTGTGTGTTGTACCACTCAACTACATACATTTCTTTTTTAGTTCTTCTAAGTTTAATTCCTCCAAGAAATTGTGTGAATCGGCTCAGAAAGTGATTCCAAAGTAAATGATCTGCAAAATGTATGCTTCAACTAAAGTTTTGTCGTGAAATCCGAAAGAAAAATATAATGCTAATAAATTATGTGTATTAGTTATTCATGGAATAATGTAAAGTGTTACGCTGAAAGTTGTAAAAATATAAAAAATAGAAACATTTTCTCCAAGGAACAGTCAAGTGTACTTCATTTTAACGCTTTGTGTGCACATCAAGTTGAAATGTGTTGCCAATGATTGGGTAAACGAACATACCTAATATCTGGCAAAAGCTTAATTTGGTGCCGTTTAGCGTCGACAAGATCCAAAATTATAAGGGTTGCCAGTCAATGAATTGCCTACAATTTTGGAAAATATATACATCCAAAATTAACAATTTTATATAGCAAAGTTGACAGGCGTATGAACATACATGTTTGGATGTACATATCATACATAAATAAATTGAGTGCTTGCGTATGTTCCCTTGACTGTTATTATACCGTACCTCCTTATATCCGAATAAGAATTTCAAATTATACACTTTTAAATTATCAATATTTTTGTTCGTACTTTATTTCAATCAAGGCATATTGTTGCGAAGTTTCTTTGTTAGACTAATACTAAGAGGACTTAAAATTAGTAAAGCACAATCATAATTTAATTTATATTATTCACCTAATAAAGCAAATCGAATCGTATTTATAATAGAGCACTCGAAATGATTGCACACGGCAAGATTTACATTAGTTTGATGGAATTCATGCTACTTAATGAAATCACGACGATTCCTAAACGCGTAAGGAGGTGCGTACTGGTTTTTTGCTGAGTTCGATCCTTTCTTGTCGTCGTTGTAGGCATTCCATTCGCATCACAGCCTTGCGTAGAAGCTTTGTTTGTGGCGACACTTCCCTTCCACAGCTAGTAGTTCTAGTTTTGGGTCGGAATTCTTCAGATTGATTTTCAGGCTCATCGAATAATTTTTGCTTTCTTGCACTTATTACAGCCCGCTTGGGAGTTGATTCTTTTGGTGTTTGCGAAGAAGGTTGTTTTTTTGATATGGAATTTTCGTTCGATGCCGTGCCTGTATTCTGTTTCGTTGAACAGCATAATGAAAAAAAGTGTTGATCGTCATTTGAGGTAAGGTTGATTTGTGGGTTTTTAATTCGGGAATGGCAATGGCGTTGAGGTTCCAGATTTGGTGTTGAACTTATAAATAAACTATCCATTAAAGAATCCAATGCAGTGTGGTAAAATCCACTGGCCTCCAGATGTTCACACACAGACATTCTTTGTTTAATGAGTAATTAAGTGATTACGGATTACAGACGCGGATGCGAAGATCTTAGCTTGTCAAACAATGAATATCAACTGACAATTTTGCTCCCTTAGAATTGCCATCTACTCTCTACCTACCTTCGCTTTGGTTACTGGCTAGTATATAAACTGAGTAATTGCCTGCATTCTTATGTTTGGTTGATCTAAGTTTTAACGAGTGTGAAAGAGAAAACACCTAAGAGTGATCCTCTCATATTTTGGGAAACTCAAGATCAACAACATTGTTTTTTTTTCCTGATGGGGTTGTTCACAAAATTAAACAATATGTACGCATGCACATGTATATGTATGCGGTATGTATGCATCTACACAAATATATACTTGTATGTGCACATCCTGCTGCTGCTACGGTTCCTTACGGAGTAGCAGCTGCTTACTTATCAGAATATGCATCGAAGTGAGCTACCTGACTGCTGGTCTAAGTGCATCGTTTCATACAGGTCCTATAAAAAAAACAGTTTTCGTTGTGATTCCAAGAATAGTTTATTGTTATTGAAAACAATCAGGTTCGCCGATAAGGTAACAGATATTATTTTGGTTTGGGAAGTACACAGCGATTAGATTATTTCATGCCTCAAAATATTATTTATCATCCATACAACAATTACTCATAACACTTCTCGAATTTTACTAACCATTAAACGTAAATATGTGCGCAAAACGCATACTCAATTATAAATATGCGTATGTACATTTTTTCATTATTAACTAGGGTATGTTAATTTAGCGGCTTGAAGAAATCTCTGAAGTTCTGGGGTGTTTGTTGGATAAGTTTTTCTGTCATTTGCTTAGCCTCGTCCGAACTTCCGCTATCCTTGTGGTAGAACACGGTAAAGTAAACAATAAGGCCGATGACAACTAGCAGAACAATTCCGGAACAAATGAAACCCATCAACATGTTACATGCACACTCGCAGCAGCTGGAAATTATAGGAAAACCAAAAGGATCAGTACCCGCATTAATTTTGTCGAAATTTCAGTTTTTGCATTCTTACCAGCATATAACCTTTCCAGGGCATTTGATTATTTCCCAACAAGCTTTACACATTTTTCAAAGTTTCTGATTGATTACTGTTTCTTGAGTTACTTCTTTTCCCGTCTCCAATTAAAATACAACTGACTGTCAAAACACTTGTGGCCTTTTAATCCTCATTATCAGTATTGAAATTGTAACCAATACTGATAAAAGTTTGTCAACTGCTTCGGATTGGAAGTGGGCCAGATGGGGGGAAATCACCTATGAAAATGGGTGGCGGGAAGGGCGAAAAACGTTAAATTGTAGATTGGTCGGTATACCAACACCAACTTGGCTCTTATCGTATTTAGTTCGCAATGAACGGCGTTGTTTATATTTGGCAAAGAGAGTTGAGAATTCAATAAAATAACGTTACCAATGAATAAAATACATAATCCAAATGTATTCTCCTCTACTGCTGCAAATGAAAATACTCTAATGAATCTTTACAACCTAGAAAATGTTTGTGCCGATATATTTTCCCAACGCTAAAAGATTATGTATGTATATATTGATTGCACATTTTCGCAAAAACTCACAAATATGTGCTAAGAAATTGAGTGCTTTTAAAGTGTTATTCTTTAGTAACTTAGGAACCAACGTAAAACAACGGACGTATTCGAACATATATTCCCTACACCATTATTTAGACAACATGTCCTATTTAGCTTCATTGATCATTGTTAAAGAAATGCACCACGTCAGCGCTTCATTGCATATACGGGCGAAAGAAAATCTTCACCTTTGTGTTGTCTCTTCTTTACGTATATTAATTTGGCATGATCATCAAAATAAAATATTACTATTTCGGTTGAAACCCATATTCGTACGTACACGTATATGTGTAGTTTGCAATGAAAACAGTTCTTAATCGTCTTCATAACACAATGGTCTCACTATTTGGGGCTTTGTGCTTCTGCTCTATTTTTTGTTTTTGCAAGTCATGGTTGTTGGCTCAGTGCGGCTTAAATGAAACGTATCGCATTTTGCATTTGTCAACCCACTTTGATCGTGTTTTTCTTAGCATATCGGTGAAAAATGAGAAATTTCCAACCCTTGTTGAAACACAATGGCCTGACAAATATCTGCCATCTCTGAAGCCCATTCTGTACCCGAATCAGCAGGCTCATGCCAACGGTGTTCATTCAGAGTGTGGACGAATACAACAGGCAGTATGGTCACAGGTGGATTCTTTATCTCGTCTGTGGGTAATGGATATTGGTTGGCCTGGAAATAGTAGCACTGATAGGCATAGATGCAATCCAAAACTGTTGGTTTTCGATTTGATTCGTAACAATATTGAGGTAACGTAGAAATACAAGGGTTATGATTTTTTACAATCTAGTATCCCTATGCTTTAGGTTTTTACTGGATGTTGTTGAAAATAAGTTACTTAGTAACTGTTACTTGAAAAATTATCATACATTTCTAATGTCTCACTGTATTTATAAGTTATCGGATAATCAAGGTGCATTTAACTTGGCGGTTTTAAATAATTAAATGGAATAATACTAAATAGTCATTAATTGCTTAAAGTTAATTCATTCCTACTACTGGAAATCATTTTTGAGAGAAAAGTCATAACCCTAAGCGACACACAAACTAGTTCTGCTAATTGATTCATTATTCGATTATTGAAATTTTTTACAGGTTTCGCGTATAGACTGCAGTCAATTTTTGAGAACAGACGTTGACAGTTCCAAAATACTGGACATAGGTCTGGGTCCTCGCGTTTCACCATGTGACAGTGAAAAGTTTATTTACTTCATTGTTTCCTATGATTCTCGCCTACTGACTTACGACATTCTGGAGCAAAAATGGCACAATGTTCTACTCTCAAGCAAGAAGTACTCAACGATAAATGATTTTTTACCAATCAAACCGCGAGACTTAACATTCGGTAATCGTGGTGAAATGTGGCTATCAGACGAGGATGGAAAGTTGTATAGGGGGCCAAATATATTTCACAATTCTACACAGGCAAATTGTGACGCTATAGAAATGATTTTAATGGGCTCTTTATTGGGACCCACTCGTGGCCTAATGATGGACTCTAATGGGGTGTTGTTTTATGTAGTTTCGAAATTTGGGGCTGTTGTTCGTTGCGAACACACACATGACATCACCGCCGAAAACAGTGAAATCATTTACATGACGTCCAAAAATATCCAACAGATTTTCTTCGGCAGCGAGGACTCTGTATGGCTATTGTCTGATCGGTGGCTGCGTCCCCATGATCAATGCATATCGGGTTATTCAATGATACCAACATAAGTTCTGTATGGCTTCTGTCTGATCGGTGGCTGCGTCCCAATCATCAATGCATATCCGGTTATTGAATGATACCAACATAAGTTCCTTGATGTCATATCCATTTATTTATTAATGTCGTATTTCAAATACAATCCATGTTAGTTCAGAGAATATAAATAAATAGAAGTATGTTAACAAAAATTTATTAAATACATTAACTAAAAATGAAGTTTTAAACTATAAATTAAGATCTTACAGGCTATAGAAAGCACACATAATTTTCCATAGGCTCAACGTATTTTCATGCTGTTTTTGGTTCACGAATACCAAATGACAATATCATATTAAAACAATTCTATATATGGGCTTTACGTTTCTATGGCATATTACATATATTGTAAAAAAGTAAGAAACTATAATAAAAATTATGACTGACGCAGAATCAGAAATTTTCAATGGTGAACGATCTGTTTGTTGAGATAACCCATTAATGCCTGCAAACGTTTCTTAATATTTTTCTGGTCATCTAAAGTACATCCTAGCAGTACACTTTCAAACTTTTTGTCGACAGGACCGGCATCCATGTCTGTTGCAGCGTACGATGACATGTTTCCGGTCTCGCTGGCACTGCAACAAGCATTCAAATACATCTGGCACTTTTGACGTGATAAGGCTGGATCACCTAATGTTATCATCATATCGATTAGGGCATTAATCTGACTAAGGGAATCCTCCTGAGACTGGTCGCGTACTGTACGAACATTTAGTTCAACTGTGGAAAGACGAGCGTTGACGCGTTGAATGTAACATCCGATTTCTTCACGCTCCGCTGTAAAGAAAAATAGTACGAAATACCGAATAGAAATTAAAAAATGTTCAGAACCATCAACACACTTTAGAAGGATGTCCCAATACATTCGATTAACGCGAAAGCAATCGTTGGTTGTGGACAAATACCCATAACTAACACAAAATCTAATCTGTTACTGTTTCTGGAGTGATGACAAATGTCGAACCTTCATATGTCCGCATTTACTATGAAGATGTCTTTTCACAACAACTTCGATATAAATACAAACTTTTCTCTAGTAAAACTGACAATTTCGACTGATTTTAACGACAAAAATAGCAAAGTTATGACCATAGTGATCAGCGAAGAGGAAATTTATAGTATAGCCTATTTTGTTGAAGTGAATTAATAAATTAAATAAAATGATACATTTTGAAATAGTTTGATAAATAATTACTACATAATTTCCTCCATTTGACATAATACGTATTACAAAATGTTATTTGTTATATATCTATACACGATATGTTCAAACTTACATTCCGTGAGATTTTGCATTAGGTCATTGCTTTTAATAAGATCTATAGACATGAGCAAGAAGTCGCGTTTTTCTTGTAGACCCAAAGCATCCTTGCGAAACTTCTCCACTCGAGAATCCAGCTGGTCCAATACAGTGACAAATCTAGAAAGATAAAAGAGTAACACGTTAATGGCTTGAAATTATGTTGGTACTTATTATTTGAATAGTGGTGTATACATTTGATTTACCTTTCATTTAAATTGAAAGGTCTGCCACACAAATACGTTTCGTTTGTGCATATATTTTATATTGCAGTGGATAGTAGGTATATTTTTGTAGGCATCATAACATAAAAAAGAAAAAAACAACGTAATGAGTTATTTGATGCGTATTCCAATTAGGTTAAATGATTAAATTCGAAAACATGTTTAATATTTCCAAAAAAATTCATAATTAATTTTTGTGTGCAGCTTCAAGACTGTTCCTTGGAATGAGACCTTTGAAAAATCAATCTAAAAATGGAAACAAATAAAATGTGTTCTACAAATATGGTATAATGTCGTGGGTGTTGCTAATGATTCGCGACATATTCATATTGCTTAGTAGTAACTTAAAAAATGTTACACACAAAAAACTTGTTTCGGCTTTTTTCATATGGAACAAAAACAAACGCAAGGCAACTGAATTACTCTTTCTGTTGCTGCTGCTATATTGAAAAACTTTGGGATAATACATTTAAAGTAACCACCTGTCAATTGCTTTGCTGTAGTCGACATGGCCACCACCATAATTGTTTGAGGAGGAGTTGCCAATTCCAGCAAAATGGCGTGGTGATTCTACATGGGCTGAAGACGATGAACCGCTATTGCTGGCGTCCATGGCCGTGTCTCCGTGCAAGCCGTGCAAATAGTCAAAGTTCATCGATGACTCTGACTGATAAGGCACGGAAGGATTATCGCAATACTCCTGAGGTGGTGGAACAGGAGTTGGGTCAATTTCCATTGGTCGATTTCTTCTTTAGAGCACCGAATGAAAGGTTTCAAAATGTATGGAAAATATGTTTAACACACTTCTTGCTTCTGTCCTCAGCGGTAGCGTACTGTTGCTGTTTCACGTTACTGTTTTCTACGACAAACCAAAGCTGAGTAGGCGGCCTTTAGTCCAAATGCCCAGTTGTACGTTTTGTGCAGAGATCCGATTAAATGAATATATTTCTCACCGATACCACGTAAAATTTAAATTGTCCGTATGAGTGTTTGATTCACCTATCGTTTCCGAAACTCTTTGCTCACTGTCAATAATACTTTTGTTTCCTACACTGAAAAGATCAGAGACAATATGTTAATATAAGTGTTCGCTGTTACCTATCGACGGCCATGCTTGTGTCGTCTGCTGCGCCGCTACTGCTATTGTTTATGTTCTGAGCATTATTAGTGGCAGAGGATGCATCATTATCTCCGAACAAATGATCCCAAATATTATTGAAATTTGTTGTGACATTTGCTCCAAAGCTGCCAGCACCTGTTCCCGTACCACCTTGTTGTGGATTGGCACCGACATTTTCGTCCAAACGACGACGTTTTAACTTACTGAAAATGTTATCAAACATTTCATGGCTAATCTAGAACATTTCAAGGAGCCTCAATTTCCTTCAGAACTACAAAAGATTGCTTTAATTTTTATGTTCAGTTTGCAGTAAAGCCAGTGTTTCAAACTTAGAACTGTCGAAATATATTCAGCACACAGGGCAATGTTTTGTTCCTTCTAGAATGAATAACTATGCACGCACTTTCTCGAAATAATGGCTCTTGAACATAAACAAAGCACCTCACACAGAGACGTCACTGTGGGACGAGACAGAATTGCAGAATACACAAATACATACATACATGTTGTTAAAAGATGTTTTGTTATTCTTTTGCCGAAACTGGCCTTTGGCTTTTGTCAAGATGAAATATTGGAAATTTGTAACAAGCTCTCAACAATTTCTACGGTAAATTTGTTGGAAAAATGTACTATGTATACTTTTTATAGCTATTTAGCGGTAATATGTTCCTTAATTTGTCGACAAACGAAAATTTTTCATATACTCTCTACGGCTCTCGTAGGTATGTCATTCTCTCGATATTTTTGAGGCGATTTATTTATTTTGTGGACATGTATCGACATTAACAATTCGATTAAAGTTAATACTATCGATATAATCTGCCATTTTTTCAAAAGTCTCGTCAAAGTAAACATTAGGGGTCTGTTCCCGTACTGCAAGAATCTACTATTTTATTTTTTTGTCGATATCATAAAAGAACATTTGTTACATAGTAAAAAGTAGTAGATTCTTGCAGTATCGGAACAGACCAAAGGTGCGTCTTTTTTTTAGGTAACAATTGTAGAGAGATCTTCAGGCATACGCAGAATGGATCCGTTGGGCCATACATAGCGTTAATTGTTATCGAAAATAAAAGAATTACAAGGGAGCGATAACACCAACGCTTGATGTTAATGTGCGTTGCGCTTCGAAGTTAAATATATTTTAACTTTTTGCATGCGTTAGCGCGATAACAAAAAATGTTCAACTGGTTAGCCCTTAAACGCAATAAGAAAAAACGCGTATTGCGATCATTGTTCCTGTAGTGCAAGAATCTACTAATTTTTTTATTCGGCGGGACCGAACTTAACCACGTCGTTATTTGTTTGATTTTCCCTACCTGTGGCTGTACATACATCATTTCTTTCTCGATAAGGAACAATGTCTGCGCCAACACATTAATTTTTTTACCGACAATAGCAAATTTCAATAATAATTAAACGGAACACGAGAAGAAAACAATTAATCGAGTTTGCTGTAAAATATGGAATTATTTCAATTGCACTTTATTATGTATATATATTTTTAGGCGTTCTTCATTTATATTATTTCTATTTACTTATTATGTATGCATATGCATATGAAAAATCCATTGGGTTTACTATACATTTTTTAAATATATTCACCTCAATTACGGTTGGCGCAGTTGTGTTGAAAATTTGGCACTGTCGTATTTATACGAGAAATCGGTATTATGAATGTCGTTATAATACGCCAAATTTGTCGTGAAAGATTCTGTTGACGACAGTATAAAAATAACTAGGGAAATATTTGTTATATTTATATTTATTTATAAATCTGGGGGCAACATATGACGGTCGATATTGAGTAAGTTTTTATTCGACATTTCGATAATATCATAACTACTGCCATCCGATCGGAATTGGCGGTCGATATTGAGTAAGTTTTTATTCGACATTTCGATAATATCATACCTACTGCCATCACCAAAATGATGTCACCGACATTACCGCGAAGAGCCGTAAAAATGTTCTTTTTTAAATCTGGAGCAACATATGAAGGTCGATATTGAGTAAGTTTTTGTCCGACATTTCGATAATATCATAACTACTGCTATCACCATCATGATGCCTTTATATCATGATGTCACCGACATTACCGCGAAGAGCAGTAAAAATGTTCTTTTATAAATCTGGGGGCAACATATTACGGTCGATATTGAGTAAATTTTTATTCGATATTTCAATAATATCATAACTACTGACATCACCATCCGATCGGAATTGTTCAATGAAAATTATAGATTAACCTGTAATCGACCTGTCAAAAACATATTTTCTCTATTAAGTTCTTTAAAAACTATTTTCTTTAAAATGTCCTTTATTCGATGAGATTCGCTAGGAGTCATTCAAAAATTACTTATTTGTTATTTGTAACTGGGAGACTCTTCACTAATATTTTTAAGATTTTAGACGCATTTACAACCCGAATAGGCTGTAATTTGGCATTCCCGGTTTTTGTGAAGCAAATACTTTTCCCTAGAGAATGTTCAATATTGGTCAGTGGTTGTAAATATATTAATACAGAGGTATTTACTTACCTTAGTTATTTGTAACTGGGAGACTCTTCACTAATATTTGGTCTGTTTGCGTACTGCAACAGTCTACTCATTTTTACCATTTCTTCGATATCATAAAGGTAAACTTCTAATCGTATTAAAAAATTGTGAATTCTCTAACGTTCTGGAACAGACCAATTATATTTATTATTTTATAGCAATGAATCTTGACGCAACTCTCTTTTGACCCAATGTGCAGAAATTGTTAGTTGGTTAATTTGTCCAAACATATTATATATTATGCGACATAACCTTTTTCAATACACCCCAAGTGGTTTATTGTGTTATATATTCAGCCCATTCCTGCTGCGAACGTCTCCTTCTATTGGGATTTATTCTATTCTTGATGGGATTTTTCCTGGTTTCGGCACCTATTCTAGGTACTTGCAAACCCTCGATAGTTCTTATCAGACGTTTCGACTATAATTATAGGACTATGCTTTGGTATGGCTCTCATTTATCGGTACCGCCCAATTTTCAGTATTTTTAAGATTTTAGACGCATAACCCGAATAGGCTTTAATTTGGCATTCCCGGTTTTTGTGAAGCAAATACTTTTCCCTAGAGAATGTTCAATATCGGTCAATGGTTGTAAATATATAAATACAGAGGTCTTTACTTACCTTAGTGGCTCTAAATTCTGTTATTAAATTTCTAAGAGTATAAATAACAATGGCATTGTCTCCATATAAAGATCCCGAGTTCTTAAAGATATTTTCAATGTTTACATGGTGGAGAGTATAATACAATGACCGGTAGGACTGAACTTAACAACGTCGTTACATATTTGTTTTTCCCTACCTGTGGTTGTGCATACATCATTTCTTTCACGTTAAGGAACAATGTCTGCACCAAAACATTCATTTTTTAGCGACAATAGCAAATTTCAATAATACTTATAGGGAACATGAAAAGAAACAAATTAAGCGAGTTTGCTGTAAAATATGGAATTATTTCAATTGCACTTTATTTTATACTTATTGTTGTATATATATCTTTAGGCGTTCTTCATTTATATGATTTCTATTTATTTATTATGTATGCTCTTCGCAGATCAAAAATCCATTATATTTACTATACATTTTTTTGTAAATATATTTAAAAAAAATGTATTATTATCGTATATATGTAACATGGTGATCATAGATAAAAATAAATATACGTGTTTGTGTACATACATAAATATACGCATGCCTTTCTACATTAAAATAATATTAAAAATTTTTATAAAAAATATTGCGCCTCGTTTTGTAAAAAACAAGAAAAATACGTGTAGTTGCAAACGTTGTTGCTGATTTTTGAATAGGTATATAGATCAAGATAAATTTCATCTAAAATTGCACGTAGGGTTTTATAAACACACAAATAATTTAAGTGGAAAAACAAATATCAAACGTATTTTCTAACTAAAATATTAGTATTACTAATTTATTTAGGATGTGGTCTGACCATATTACACAAATAAGACGGAAGAGTGAGAGGGTTGGTCGGCCCAGTGATTATGCACAATGACTGGACCTAACTAATTAAATTTGCTAAAGCAGTACAAACATTAAAAATTTAATATAAATTCTTCTAAATTCAAAAACAAAACATGACTTAAAACAATGACTTCGGCTAAGCTGAAACTAAAAACAAATGCACATTGCCGGCATACAACCATTGGACACCAATGAAAGTGTCCACCGATAAAGGGAACAGCGATTGGCTCACACACCCTACACTACCAATGCTAAACGGAACAATACAATATCATCGTTGCCGATTAAAAAAAGCAACTATAATTTGACTAAAACATTTTTTCGATTCTTTGCAATTAAATGTAATAAATTCTTAGGTTATCTAAATCAACATGTCACGACTTATAGGTAGTATTTAAATGTACGCTTAAATAGTAAAGACGAAAATAAATCATTTATAAATATCTGGTATAAAACGTAAAAGACAACATTCATTAGGATAGCATAGTTCACTTAAAGCTAATGTGTGTGTGTGGGGCTGGGCGATCATTTGAGACATAAAAACAACTGCAAAGACGCCAATGCAGACACAAACAAAAACATCCCAATATTTATATTACAATTTCCTATCAACAAAAAATAATAAAGCTTTTAAGCCTCATAGGCATGTTAACTCTTCGAGTCATATCTCTAGAAACTCCAACTCGCCCAATCAAAAAGTATTGCGATCTTGTAAGATGGCGAGGCGCATTGGCCAAGGCTTTACAATTTGTAAACAGTCTCAAGTCGAATTCATAGCAATATATATGAACTGTTCTGCACTAAGAAAATAACATTATTAAGTAAAAGGCTTCAGAGTTATGTACAAAATAAAATTATATTGGCTCGGACAAGACTTCTTGTTTCACTATGATAATTTGCATAAATAGATTTGCAGGGGGAATGTAAATAGGAAGGGAATTATAAGTTCACCGAATAATAAAAAGTATGTCTTGCACAAATAAATTGCATGAGTAAGTCTTTTTTATTTTTAAACCAATGGAATGGAATTTTAAACAAATGCAGTGTTGTTCACAACAAAATTGAGAATAAGTGTGTGCGAGCGCAACTGAGATTTCATCATTAAAAACGACGGACGAAAAGAGAAAAAATAATGCGTTCTTAACCATCGACGCTCAGTTGCGATAGCGTATATGGGTGAGCGTGGCTGTTTTAATGACATACTCTTTTTGTTTTCATTAATTTCCCATGACATTTCTCTGACAATAACGCAACTGAAATTATTCATTCCCTTCCCATGTAAATACAAAATTAAACTAAGAAGAACATTATTAAAACATAACGTCAATTCTCTTTCAAGACTTCACAAAGTTAAACCCATCGTCGTCTTCCTGGGTGCACGACATGTTATCTGGACTTATTTTCTAGACATGGTAATTGGCATATAGCGAGGCAGTTAAACTAATCTTTAACACTCATCATAGGGATCATTCAACAAGCTAAAATAAATTAAATCCATATGGATAAAAAGGGATAAAATAATAAATTACAGAGGACTTTCAGCAGTCGAACGCTTAGCTGGTGTTTTTCGTTCATAAAAATAAAATGTAGGAATGTCGTTAGAGCATAGCTGCTCTAAAGGTTAGATGGGGCATGCAAAGGGGTTGCCATGTTTTGTTAACATTTCTTGGGATTCCTAGTTAACGCTTTTGGATGGAAGTCTTTAAGACTTTTTGAGGTTATGCTTGTTTACAATAGCCTGCAGTTTGTGCAATTGATTAAGAAGGCCGGCATTCGAATCTTCCAGGGATTTGACACGCTTTTTGTAGTCGGAGTTTTCGTTTACTAAAATCTCTACTTTACGTTCTAACTGGTCCATATATTCCTTCTTTTTGCGCCTGCTCTCCTGAGCGGAGATCTGTAAGCATACAAGAATAGAATTTAGTTTAACAATTATCCTTGAAAGGAGACGATTGTGAGTGAACCCACCTTATTTTTTATTTTACGTCGAATTTTCTTCAGAGACTTTTCTTCGGCTTTGGTTAGTGGTAGCTTCTGTGGTATTGGATAGCCTTCCGCCAACAAGGTACGCTTTTCCTCTTCGGTTAACAAGAGAGTTCCTGTAGAACCCTTCTGCAAAATATGAAGAGGTGAATGTAAGAATAGCTGAAGCTGACAATTGAGTCGGGGCAATCTTACCGGTTGCGAGCTTATCAGTGGTGTGTGTATTGGTTGGCGGGTAGTACCTCCACTTGTGTGTCGACCCATGCTTACATTGGAACTGGAATTGGAGGTAGTGGACGAGGCAGAGCTATTGGTATTTCGTCGTATAGACGTAACAGTTAAAATGCCACTTGTCGGTTGACTAACCGAAGCCGCTATCTTCGCTGTAGCTGATGAGGTGGGTGACTGAGGTGAAAGCATGTGTTCAGGTGTGAGATTACCCTCCGAACCATCACTGGAGAGGGACGACGGTGGGGTCAAGGGCAGACCATATGACTTGGCAATCGAGGGAGACGTAATGAAAGTACCGCTGCTGGATGCTGTCCCCTCAGATTTTATGGTAAATTTAGGTATTATAACATTTTGTGAGGGACTGATGACAATTTGCTGTGTCTTGAGCAAGTTTTGGGAAGACGGCGTAAGTTGCAAACAACCATCCTGAAAATAGAATAAAAATGACATTATCATTTACTGTTCGTATGGTCATTGTGATGCCAACAAACCCACCTTGTGCTCAAAAACGAGATCTGAATTTGTGAAGGCAGCCATATTGGCCATGGTTAGACTTAAGGTGCCGCCATTCGTATTGCTACAGTTGGCTATGTCACTCGCCTCCGGACTACCAGGACAACTGGAGTCGGGAGACATGGGCTCGTTTTTAATGCAGGATTCATCGATCTCAATGTCGGAGCATATATCTGGTGACTGACTTCCATCCCGCGATGATGTACTGGATACACAATCATTATCCATGACTGCATTTAGCTCATCTTGAGGTAGATATTGTTGTTGTTGTTTTGTCTGTAAAGGTGTGGCGGGTTGTTTGACCATTAATTTGTGATTATCCGAGGAGATGGCGGCATTCATTGAATTGTTCAGATTCTGGGCGCTTTCAAGGTTTCGCAGGCTGAGTGTAATGGGTGTGCTAGCAGAAATCTTACATATATTACTGTACATGCTCGATATATGGCTTGTGTTGCAGCTGCTGGTGGTCAGTATGGGATTTGACTGACTGCATATGTTTGCGCTAGATGTTGAACCTGCAGAAACCACGGCATTTAAGGTTAATGAACCAGTTTCCATATTATTACCAGTGATCATTGAGGAGCTGGATGAAATGTTTAAGCATTTTGGATCAATAGTTGCCGTGCTGCTTACACCCCTGACGTTCGATGTGGCTGTTTTCAATGAAATGGCCGGGTAGCATTCATCTTCCATATCTGCGATGAAAAATACAATATGTAGGGGTCAGTTATGAAACATGGATGAAAAGGGTCAGCTTAGGGCTAGATAAAATGCTGCTTATGACGAACGATTAAATTAAAAAGGCATCAAATGGAATACTAATCAAGGTCTCAGCGACAAAACATAACAAATCAATTACTTTGTTTAATTTGGGCCAGGCATCTATGTATACCTAGAATGCGATAAATTCATTGTTTGGGTTCCCACATTGAGATTGTGATACACTGTTGTCGTTTCTCAATATATTTTGTGTTTTTGTTGTTTTGTTTTTGAATTCAAACACGCGTCATTCTATTTTGGCCGCACTTGTGTTAATATTGAATTCATGCCGTATTTACCTAGCTGTTAACAACTTCTGTTTCCAGCATTGTTCCAAACAATCGCAACTGAGTATTTTGAATAAAAACAAATTTTAATAAATGAACCACAAAACAATTAAACGGTGGAAGAAGAGTCAGCAACAATGCGAAAGCCGTTGTGCTAGCCTCAGGTGGAATGGAAGGGGTACAAATATTATATGTTTCATGTACCAGCTACTGTTCGCTTTATCCATTATTTGGAGTGTGAATGGGGAAACACATATTGGTACTGTTGTTAAATGTTGGCCACTATGACCGCTATAAACTTACCATCCATTTTTGTGTGGAGACTGTGGGGCGAATCGGGTAGAGAGTCGCCATCGCTGTTAAGGCTGTAGGAATGTTCAGATTTGATCGGTATCGTTCCATTTAGAAGGGCATCGGAAATTAATTTGTCGTTAAGTATGACAGCGGCATCTTTAACGTCGCGCTCCAGAAACCAATCGTTCATGTCACTGTCCGTGGACAACTTCAGAGAGTCCGTCTAGAATTGATAACAGAATGCATTGGATCAAAAAAACGAATATGTATTTTCAAACATACACATTTATGTACATGCATTTATAGGTATACATATATGCGTGTACATTTGTGAATATATTTATTCTACAAAGACAGAAATTTAAAATATGAAATGTTTATGTAAGTACAAATTAATTATTAAAAGACTCTGAACAACATTGCGGACTTTTCCGAATCCAATATTTCTCAAAATGTTTCCATTTAAATCAGACATTGATATAAGAAAATGATTTTCTGTGTACATCTGTCTATCTCTATTCAATGTTAAGTGTGTAGGAGTTTTTTTTTAGCCGCAATGCCTGGTGTTTAGAAACATACACATAGACTGACTACACAGTAATAGGTATGTCGGTTTCTTCATATCTTATCTTCATAATTGGCCGGGGTTTCATTCAATGCAGTAAGTACCACCATCATTTTACACCTTCCGATGGAAATGCTGAGTTAATGTGTCGGTGTCGTCAACATAGTCACAATATTAACAACGAAGATATTCTATACAACTCTACTTCGCCTTCAAGATTTCAACTAGAACCTTGCGGAGTCCTTGACATTGGCCGTGGGCGGCTTTTGATCGCAAATATTCATACATGATGTGATCTGACCATTGTGAAGATCTTAATGGGCAATGAGTTGCAGTGAAAGTTCAAGTATATCAAATTTTTTTTTAACAATATTTGGTGCTAACGAATTGAATACAATTACTATATTTATAATTTATAGTCGAATTTGCTGTTGATATTTTTTTCACGTACATACATAAATGCAATGCCACAGATATCGTTTTGTATGTACGTATTGATTTACTGATTATTATTATTATTAAATATTCTTTTTTGTTTTGGTGACTTTTCTATTCTTTAGTTTGATACGATAACACTTGAAGTGGTTCTTATTTTCATTTTCTGTGTGATTGAATTATCTTTTGGGAAATTTTGAAACTTTTGATTTGGAAAGTAAATTGATATATTCGGGTGTATGGTGTTCACTTGCCAAATTGTCTTAAAAATAAATCACGGTCACATTAAATGTAAACAAAATTGGATTTGTAGAAAGAAAATGAATATTTTTGATATTTTGTAACACGTTTATAACACACCCACCCTAATGTTTAACCAAAGATAGAGAAGGCACACGACACGGCCGCAAAAATCGGTTGTCCTAAAAAAGTATATGTCCTATTATATAGTGATGTTGGTCGTTTTCGTCTATGATAAAAATAAATGTAGTAAATTGGGGTTGCATAAGCACCGTCTGACAATGGCATGGGTGATAATTGGGTCCGAACTATATGTCACCGATTGTGGCTATCACAATCAGCTCTACACAGATTAAAATTATCAATTTAAAGTAAATATGTACATTTATTAATACATTTTTTTAATCTATTAATATAACTGTTAATATATCACGTTCCGAAGCAGTACTGATCGGATTCAGTGGAAAGATATGGAAAAAGCCTTCCACTCAGTGGAACATTTTAGATAGAGCTATGAGATGCTCATGAAGTTAACCACTTTTCTTTCACTTTCGATGTTTTTCGGACAAAAAGGCAAAACAACGCAACGACCATTAAATAGATTTCAAGTCACTTTGTGTGCGGAGTTTGCGATGAACTTGTTTATATCTATAATTACAATAATTTGTTTAAAAAACAATGACATTTTGTTTTGCTGATAGGCAGATCGTGACTGTAAATGTATATAGCTTCGTAATATTGTATTTATTTTGCAGTTCATTAGAATTTTGTTCGATTTGAAGTCATTACCGAGAACTGTACAAATTGTAGCTCTGTTCATTCGATCTTCACGCTCCTCTATACTATCTAATTTCGTGAACAGCAGCACTCACGTATATATATGAACACTCTAGCGTACGTGTTAGTGCATAGCTGGATAAAAATATCATTCATAATAGATTCTATCCCTGACAGCACCGATCACATTTTTTCTCTCACTCTTTATGCATACATACACTTGCAAGTATCTCTCGTGTGTATGCGCTCCCAAGTCACGAAGCATGGTACAAACAATTCTAACCTAATGTTAACAAATACAAACACTTGACCAACAAAATAAATAACTGTAAATAGTTTTGTTTGTATTCAGCGACATTATCACACACACGCAAACACTCGTGCATACCAGATCATAAATAAATGAATGGCGAAAAAGAAATGCGTAATGTTTCTGGCATTTCAAAGCGAGACTTGTGTATTTTCATGTGGTCGAAACTTCACACATGAACAATCGCAGCAAACGGCTCTTTCGGCGTTTGTTTATCTACAATGGCCTGTACGGCACGACCATGGCCAAGAAAGAAGAACTTGTTCATTGAGCAACTAGTCAAGCAAAGGCTAGCAAGTAGCCAAACAACAATCTGCCTAACTACTTTCCTAACATCTTGTCATTATTGATGTGTGTTACGATGTCCAAAGATCGACATTCTGACAGGCGTAATAAATGTCAATGCTCGTAGACAATATACACAACAGGAAGTGCACACTTCCAATCGTAGCGAGCGAACAAATGCGAATGTTTAGACCCAATCCTATATTCCGAGTTAATAGAACAACATCTGTAAATAAGCTCCTCATTTTTATATTCTTTACTTTCATTTTTACCTAATTATTTCTTTAAGTGTATTAAGCCAGCCTGGTGGACGAGCATTTCTTATGGTTTGATAGCAACGAAGCGTGACTGAACACACTACCAGTTCAACAACCTTTCTCCGTGTTGAAATATTGTTAAGAATTAGCAATTCTTGTAAGAAGTTAAAACAACAATAACATCGAACCACAACAACAATCATACCAAAGAACGAAAGCTCAGAAAGCAGCATAAAATTTAAAATAGGGTCGTTCATTATAGGGGGGTACTGAAAAGAATGAAGGTGTGTACACGGACGATACACAGTTATTCGGGTTGCACACACACTCGCCAGTCGACGAGACTTTTAAGAGTATGAAAAAAAAAAATAAAATGGAGAGAAAGGTACCCAGAACCAGGTTGTCCACAGTGATATTTCGAAAACCGAGCCAAACAGAAGCGTACGTATGCCGATCACACATTCTGTGTTGAATTCTGTTAAGCGTAAACCAAACAACAACTCATCGCCTCGAGAATTGCTAACTCACATTAATGACCATCAAAGACGTATTGTTCCCGAACAGACAGACAGACACACTGATTATGCTGCTGACACTAATTCTGGTTCTAGTCTGTTTTTGGATTCTTTCGTCGTCGTGGTCGTCGACGGCAGAAAGTCGTTTATTTTTAAATCTGACGCACTACTTTTGTCGTTTTTAAGAAGAAAGTTAACTGCTCGTTTTTGGTTTTCTTATTATTTGCGTCGCTTACATTAGACCGGCTTACGCAATATGGAATACTCAGACCAGCGGATATATTTGCTGAAAACAAAATGTATTTATTTGGCCAATGGTCGATACAAAACGAAAAGTGAAAAATATGACCTATATGACAGATATGGACATTGGAAACGGAAAATCTTTAGATATATTTCCCTTGTGAATAGTAATCAACGAGGCGATCTATTCAATCTGACACGTAATATTATAGAATTCATTACTTGGTATCGTTTTTTGAACGCATATTGATATGAATTTTTTGAGGGCTTCTCTGAAAAAGCTGTCCTGTCATTGCGTACATTTACACGTAATTGAAAATGTTTGTTATAGCAAATCGTGATCCGGTTTAATGGTCCTAAATACCGAAAACAACTTGTATGTGTGTAGCATTATCAAGAGGTAAAACCAATATATCCACACTTCATTCATTTACTTCACAATCGTCAAATAACAAACTTGCTTTTTATGTTGTTTCCATTTTGAACCAATTTTTAATGAACCTTTTATTGTTTTTATACCCTTCACCACACTGTGGTATAGGGTATTATGTCTTTGTGCATATGTTTGTAACAAGCAAAAGGAAATGAGAAAGACACATAGTTCCTTTTGAGAATATGCATAGAATCACTTTTTAAGCCGATTTATGCATGTCCGCCCGTCCGTCTGTCTGTCCATGTTAAATTGTAAACAAAGTACAGGTAGTATTATTGATTCGAACTGGATGAAAATTGGCACAGCTTATTTATTTGGTCCAAAGACGAACCCTATTGAAATTGGAAAAAATCGGTTCAGATTTAGTTACAGCTCCCATATATATTATCGTCCGATTTTAGGTAAATAGTGCACCAAAGTCCCTATATATCCTTCGATTTGCACACAATTTTGCATAGCGTACTGAATTAAGTCTAGAACGAGTTGTGTTGAATTTCATGAAAATCGGTTCAGATTTAGATATAGCTCCCATATATATTTTCGTCCGATTTTATGTAAATGGTGCATCAAAGTCCCTATATAATTCGATTTGCACGAAATTTGGCATAGCGTTCTGAATTGAGTATAGAATGATAAGTGGTGAGTTTCGGGAAAATCGGTTCAGATTTAGATATAGCTCCCATATATATTTTCGTCCGATTTTATGTAAATGATGCACCAAAGTCCCTATATATCATTCGTTTTGCACGAAATTTGGCATAGCGTACTGAATTAAATCTAAAATGATTAGTGTTAAGATTCTTGGAATTAGGTTCAGATTTCATATAGCTCCCATATATATGTAAATGGTGCACCAAAGTCCCTATATATCATTCGTTTTGCACGAAATTTGGCATAGCGTACTGAATTAAATCTAAAACGATGAGTGTTAAGATTCGTGGAATTAGGTTCAGATTTTGATATAGCTCCCATATATATTTTCGTCCGATGTTAGGTAAATAGTGCACCAAACTCCCGCTTATTTATTTGGTCCAAAGACGAACCATATTGAAATTGGGAAAAATCGGTTCAGATTTAGATATAGCTCCCATATATATTTTTGTCCGATTTTAGGTAAATAGTGCACCAAAGTCCGTATATATCCTTCGATTTGCACAAAATTTGGCATAGCGTA